TCTCTTTCTTTCCTCTCTTTCTCTCCTCTTCTTCTCTCTCCTCTCTTTCTTTCCTCTCTTTCTCTCCTCTTTTTCTCTCTCCTCTCTTTCTCTTTCCTCTCTTTCTTTCCTCTCTCTCCTCTCTCTCTCTTTCTCTCTGAGTGCACAGACGGGGCCAAACAACCACGGAGGGAGGAGCTCTCACTTACTTTCAGCTGCCAGGAAAGCTCACCCACTGGCTATCAACAGCCCCGGCATACACCACATTCCAGGCGGGTGGCCTGGCAGGGGCCGAGCTGCCAACTACCCAAGTTACTCTGAGCTGAGAATTTGCAAGGGGCGGGGGGGGAGGTATTCCCCGAATTTCTCTCAGGGAAGGAAAACGCGGCCCAGTTCCCTGACCCTGCCCATCTGCAAAACACAAACAGCATTTGTCATTGGCTAGATATTCTATACGGGTTGAAGATGATTTATTTATTAGATGTTGTTTCTAACTCAAGGTGGGGAAGGTACATAATGTTTCTTCCTCCTATTTTCCCACAACAACAGCCCTGTGAAGTGGGTTGAACTGAGCTTTTATGAGAGTCACCCAGCCGCTTTTATGCCTAAGGCGGGACCAGAACTCACGGCCTCCTGGTTTCTACACCAGCATCTTAAACCATGACTACACCAAACCACCGAGGCTTGCTTTCTCTTACCCCCACCCCCCAAAAAAACAACCCTGTAAGGTGGGCTGGGCTACGTTTCCCAGACAGTTTCTCATAGCTCTGGGGTGGGTGGTGGGTGGGATGGACCCCGAATCCCCCCTGGGCCGGCCCCCACCCGTTAGCCCAGAGGCCTCCAAACTTGGCCACTTTAAGATGTGTGGACTCCAACTCCCAGAATTCCCCAGCCAGCCGTGTCTGTTTCTTGTTCTCCTCTCCCCCAAAGAGGAGGGATTGCAAGAGAGTAAGCTCTGCTGGTGCTGGGGGATTCTGGGAGTTGAAGGCCACATGTCTTAAAGGGGCCAAGTTTGGGGATACCCGCCTTAGCCCCTTCTTCTACCAAGTGCCTCTCTGCCTGAAGCGAAGACCCCCAAGTTTGGCCATGGCACATCGTGCCAAGCCTTCCTCCCCCACCCCCAGCACAGAAGGCATTTTTTGCAACACCCCAAGCCCCTCTTGGGGTGTGTGGAGGGGGTCGCCCCAGCATTCTCCCTCCCCCCCCCCAGGCAGGGGCAGGACCCTGCACGGGAGAGATGATTCAGAACTCAGAATTGAGAATAGAATACAGCTGGAAGGGGCCTGGGAGGTCTTCTAGTCCAGCCCCCTGCTCAAACAGGAGAACCCCCCCCATCCCATTTCAGACAAGCGGCTGCCCAATCTCTTCTTTAAAACCCTCCAGTGATGGGAGCGCCCACCATTTCTGGTGGCAGGCCGTTCCCCAGGAGAATCGTCCCCAGTGCAAAAGCAACAGTCCAGAAAAGGAAGGCAAGCTCCTCCCACCCCCACCCCCCACCCCCCCACCAAAGCCCCTCCCGGCTCCTCGGGGCGTCTGTCCGCCTCTGCCTGCCCCCCCCCCCCCCCCCCCCCCCCCCGGGCCCCCCCCCGGGGCCCCCCCCCCCCCCCCCCCCCCCCCCCCCCCTCCCCGCTGCAGGACAGCCGGGCCGGGGACGGAGCGCGCCAGCTGCTGCTGCTGCTGCTGCTTTAGGGGCGGGGGTCGCCTCGAGGGTCTCCCTTTGTCTCCACCGCGGAGCGTTGCATCGGGCACCGGCCGGGGCTCCCCTCCGGCATGGCCGGGCTGAGCATCCTCCTTCTCAGCAGCCCCCCGGGAAGGAGGCCCCCCGCGACCCCCACCCTGCAGGTAGGGTAGCCCCCCCCCCTCCACCCCAGCCCCGGCGGAGCCCGACCCGAGCATCCTCCGCGGACCTCCGCCTTCGCCTCTGCGGAGCGCATCTCTGGCCCCGCTCCAGGAGAGAGAAGGAGGTAAGGCTGCCCTTGCCAGCTTCCCCCCACCCCCGGGCGACCCCAGACCCCAATTGAAAGCGGGGAGTCGAACTGG